AAAGTTATTAATATATAATAAAAATATAAAAAAAAATAAATACACTTTACTAGATCAAATATATGAGTTGAATATTTAAACATAAATTGTTTGATGAACATATTGCGTAGTAAAATAATAATTTCTTGGTCAATACTGTAATATCGTATTTTATTATAGCATAACATAATTAAAACTATATGAAATCGGTCAATAAATTTATAATGAAATATTTACGATTGCTTTCACTCGTGCGTAATATAAAAATTTATTCTGTAATTTTGTTCTCATTATTTTTATAATAGTATATATATGTCGTAATTTTATTTTTTGCTACAATTTCTTTTTGTCTTTGAAGCACATAAGAAAACATAGACTTCTAGCATTCTTAAATTTCGAAATACCACAAAATTCGTAATCACAGGTCCAAAGCATGCATATAGAGTACCCGATAGCTGACTATTGGCGCGATCTATATTTGCAATATAAAAAAATAACTATCGGAATTCCCGAAAAACATTTTTTACTGATATGCTTCTGATATATTGCAAATATAGATCGCGCCAATAGTTGACTATCGGGTACCCTATACGCATGCTTTGGACCTGCGAATCTTTTAAATTTATCTAATTTTACAATAATCAAATATGTAATTAAATATATATATATACGTATTTAACATGATTTTTTAGTTGTAAACAAGTATATATATAATAAGTAAACAGTTTCATTTCTAAAATTATCTGTTATGTCTATCATATGATCTTGAAATGTAGATCTGAGTATACTCGAGAAACAATAAGAGTTAATATTGGTACAATTGACATTGTTATTATTTTAAAGAAAAAAAACTTGTAGGGGAATTGCCAAATATCAGCTGGTATCATAAATAGTGAGGGAGTATACAAAATCTCAGATCTAAGTAGATACGTATAACGTATTCGCGCATATTAGAATTATTATTAGATGTGTCATAATCTTTTATAATGAATAATTTTTGATCCACTGGTCTGATTTGGATTATTTTATCATAAAATGACTATCTCAATGAGATAATTATAGACATTTCTAATAGTAATTCTGATATACGTAGTTATGACCAATCAGAGTGGACTAAATATTTCAGGAAAAGAAAGCTTTATAGTAAATTAATCTCAGCTAATATTTGGTACTTTCATAATTAGTTGAACTAGTAAGATTGATGCCCCACAGTACCTTTCTGCTCTCCAATATAAACCATGCTTCCAAGATTTGTGAATTTAAATGGCTTCACACCTTCGAATGAGCCACCATCTTTTGCGATTCGGGTTAAAGCTGATGTTCGAATAAAATTATTAATTAATAATTAAATTTAAGGAGTTCTATTAAACGTTAACACAATGTCAATTTGATGAAAATTTGTCCTGCCTTTTCGTAAATGGTTTGCTTTTTGATTTGCCACTTGAGCTGTGGCAGGAAGATCGTAATCTTGTATCGTTGCGCAATCGCCAATGGCATACCTTGATAATTAACAAATATTACAACATTATATATTTTAAACAATCCTATAACTGAATGTAAATAAGAACACCTACACGTTATTTATGGGCATGCCATCATCTTTGCTTAGAACGCGGAAATAATGATCCGTCAATAACCTGCAAAAGGAAATTACAATACATTTTAGAAATGATCGAATCAAACAATAAAAAGAAAACTTGATGACGTACCTTTTTGCTGATTGATCTTTCATTATGTGTTCACCCATAGCTCGTGTCAGCGGATTGTCCGTTAAACCTACAAAATTAATAGATGGATACCTCTCGATATACACATATAAAATAATATCAATTAATAAAATTACATACCTGTTGCCCACACTAACATCCCATATGGTACTTCCCCATTTTCTTTTATAACTAAGTGACGTGCTTTCACTGCATCTACATGCGTACCCGTACGTATTTGGATACCTTTACGGGTAAATTTCTTGATAGCATAATCTCTAAGACTCTGGTCAAATGACCCAAGAATTTGAGGTGCGACATCGTATACAGTCATAGTGACCAAATTGATCAAACCCGGGTATAGACGAGACATATCTTGTGTAATAAAGTCATGACTGAATATAATACACAATTGATATAGTCAATAACAAAAGTATAAAATCAATATTAATTATTATTGAATGTGCATTTTGTAATCATAGACTTTAACTCACAGTTCAGCACTAAATTCAACACCCTATATTATGTAATCGGAAAATAAAAGAGCTAATGATATTGAACTACAAACCCTGCTAATCATTTAAATAATATACATACAGTAGGACCTCCACCAACAACAGCAAAATGTAATATACCGGGTATTTCTTCCTTAGTTACATTCGGTTGGCTTGCATACTCGAAGCATTCAATGACCCTTTGACGTATTTTGCGGGCATCAGAAATGTCCTTTAGAAATAATGCGTAATCACCAACTCCTGGAATTCCAAAAGTATTGGAATTTGCGCCAACTGCAACAACCAACGTGTCATATTGGATAGTGAATTTGTCTCTCTTATAATCCAAATTAGAAGTACAATGAACTATTTGTTTCTTAAGATCTTTAACAAATTTTTATATTATTAAAATTGATTCAATGTTCTTAATCAGAAACTTCATTAACTGATAGTAACTTACCTACTGAATCGGCATAAGCTTGGTAATACCGAACCTTTGGCGAATACCTTCTGACAGGTTCGACAACGCATCTGAATTCCAAAGTACCTACGGATGATGAAGCAAGTAACGGTGTGCTACAAATTACCATAAAAATCGATCATTAGAAATGAAGATATGTAACTGTAACGCATAAATTTTCATAATAACCTACAAAACGAAATAGTTCCTATAAAGTGAAAGCAAAGTAAATCGATGAGTGCAATGTTTAAAAATTTCTTTTAAGTGTGACGTAGTACCTAGGTGATACAACTACTACTTCATAATCTCGAGTATTTATGTCTTTAAGTAATTTAAATCCTATGATTTGAAATATTTAAAGGTTTAACTGAAATGAAATGTAATGTGATTTAGCAGATCGATAATCGTATATTTATTTGTTCATACCTGCCCATCCTGAACCTATATTATTAAATAATATAGATGATTGATTGAGAAACTAAAATTTAAATGAGTAAATTTCCAGATAAGATCTGAACAATTTAATTATTATCTCACCAAGAATAACCAATTTTCCTAAGTTATCATAAATTGTAATGTACAAAGATAATTAAGATTTTAATTAGTCAATTTAAAAAAACTGAACCAGTTAATGTTCGATCCGAATTAAGTTTAAACTTAGTTGGATCGAATTTCCAAAGTTCGGTCCTTAAGCTTTGTACTTTAAGAACTGAACTACTTAACATCCTTAAAAATAATGGATATTTTACCCTGGGTTTTTCCTAACGAAGTCATTCCTCTCCTAGTCATATTAAATGTGAGTGACGATGTTGTCTGCGAAATAAATGCATCATAACTTGTTTTTTTGACAGTCGGTAAGGTAAGTAAATTCATTGATTGCATTGTAAATAAAGTTTCATGGTACTTTGATCTAAAGATCTTTTGTTGAAATAGCCTTATTTTGTTCACTGATTTTTAGATCAATTTTTAATGTATCGCAAGGAATACATAGATTAATAATTTAAGAATTGAGAAAAGCACATGAATGTATGTAATTTTCATATTCAAATGATCTGTATTAACATTACTTTTTTGTAGTTTCAATTTTATCCGTATTCCTGATTTATTTTTCAAAATTCGAACTCTTTCAACATTATCACTCTCGTTATATACTTTTCATCGTGTAACCATCGATAGATCAGATTAAGATCGATACCAAAAGAGTAAAGTGGCAGATAGCGATAATAGCGATAGTAATAGTGTAATCGATATGGTAGATTCGGTTTTAGAAAAAAAAATTCGATATAATCGCTGCTTTTTTTTTTTTTTGATTTGTTTGTTTAAAAAAACATTATAATATACTAGTTTTTTTTTCTTATACACCTTTGTCAAAGACTTTGGTGCAAATACAGCAAGTAAACTCGATAATTTTTGTTACGACTAATATTGAATTTTGTTTTATTATAATATGAAATTTTAGGTGCATTTTTTTAGGTTAGATTAGAATTCATGTTAGAGTTATTAATAAAAATATATGTAGGTTTAGTAAACCTAAGAGATGTTCAAAGAAAAGCTATTGAAAGATCAACTATTTTTTTTATTAGTCGAATCATATGTATAAAGACCTATTTTTATTGGTCAAATCATGTGTAAGTCAAAAATTTAAAAAAATTTAGAAAAAATTATTTCCAAAATTTTATGGGTCCCTGGATCTCAACCTTCTCTCTCCTTTTTTATTATATATTTGATCAAGTTTTATTTAAATATTTTGGTATTTTAAAAAAGTAAATCAGAGCTAAAAAAGTGCAAAAACGCAGGCA